AGGTAGGCATTGTGTCATTGCACATCATTACAAGAAGAATTACTGTATACAAGGGGATGGGTACAGTACAACAAGAAATTTTGAGAGGGGGTGAGGGAGAAAGCATATTTATATAGGTTGTGTTACACACTATGTTGCTATAATTTTTCTATTTTATTATTAGTTATTATCATTAATTCATTGCTGTGCCTAATTTCCAAATTAAACTTTATCATAGATATGTATGCATAGTGAAAAAACATTGTTTATATAAGATTTGGTACTATTGATGATTTCAGGCACCCACTGGGTCTTCAAACATATGCCTGATAGATAAGGGAGGACTACTGTACATACAATATATATGCACATACCTTGGAAATTTAAAATGTGATAGCATAAATTTTTAAAAAACTAATACAATAGTTGGGGTTTTTTAATTTCCTAAAAATAAAACAAAATTTGATACATAGAAAATGCAAGAAGATTGTCAGTCTAGGTAATCCACCATAATGAGTACCAGGAGTTTCTTAAAGAAAGAACCAAGAAAAAGGGAGTAAGTTATATAAAAGAGAGAAGGAGCAAGAGGAGAAGGAAAAGAAAGAGAAGAGAAAATATCCCCAATGTGAAGTCGATAATTTTCTGGATTGAAGGTTCTCATCTAGTACCAAACCAATAGAAACAAAGAGGCCTGTATCAACACACATCTTTTCAGAAGATGATTAATATATTGAGTGTGACCTCCCAACAGCTAAATGAAAACTAGAAGGCAAGGAGACAGGTGCTTTATAATTCTGAAGAAAATAGTTTCCAGGCTTAGAATTACATATTCAAATTACCAAGCAAATGTGGTGGTAAAATACAAACAATTTTAGATTTTCAAGATCATAAAAACTAATGTGCTCCCAAAACAATGCAAAGAAGAACACATGGTATCCAGAAACCAGAGATCCAACACAGGAAAGGAAAATGTCCAAAAGGAATCTCAGGATGACGACTAGTAGAAGTCCTAAGCAAACAATCTAGAAGTGGAAAGAGTCAGGGTTTATCAAGGACAGAAGTCTCAAGGGAAAAATGAAACCTATAGTGTGGTTGGTATGTTTGAGTGCATTGAGAGGAGATTTATAATGCCAAAAGGAATTTTAGTGGTATCCATTAAAAACTAGACAAAGGAAAAAAAAATCAAGGCAAGTACTAAATTCTAGCAAACAATTTTACAAGAAAAATAATCCTTTATTAGTCACTATATGGATCAGCTAGGAATAACATTTTCATGGTTATCATAATGTAAACACCAAGTTGCTAATTATCCACAATTGGATATAACTATTGATATGGGAGAGAGGAAGAAAATGTGCCTGTTTCTGTGTGCACCCATTTGAGGAGGAACAAGGGATGAGATTAAAAGTGTTACAATCCCATTGTCAACCATCTTCAATGATGGATGTTGTAATTGATCATTTTAAACTGGTGTGTGTGTGTATGTGTGTGTGTTGTGTTGTGTTATATATCAATATTATCATGTTGTCTGAAATATAGGTGGACAAAGGAGAATAAAGAGCAGTAAGTCTTTGCCTTCAGAATTGTGGATTAAGGATTTGCCACCACTATCTTCTTGCCCCCATGCCACTCCTCATTCAACACCCTGCTTAGTAACTCCTCTGCAAAGCATGGCTGGCACTTAATTTTCCCTTTTCTACCTACTTCCTGTCCATGACTTCACAGTAGTCACTTCTTCCTTTTGCCCCAGAAGATTCCCAACATACACATATCAAGAATGTAAATACGGTTATTCCTTTGCATACCTGTCTCTCCCATTAGCAGGGGTTCTTGCCTTCTTTTGTGCCATAGAGCATTTTGAAGTCTGATGAATTTTATGAGTGTCTCCTAATAATAGTATTTTTAAATGCATAAAACAAAATGCAAGGAATTAGCATGAATCTATTTTTATTGAAATATAGCTGTGAACTTATTAAAAATAAAACAGATTGATGATTGCTATATGCCAGGTTCCTCAGGAAATACAATATATACTGATGTGATAGTTGTGAAAAAAATGGTGTCTTAAAGCTAGGTGTGGTGGTGCACACCTGTAATCCCAGTGACTAGGGAGGCTGAGACAGGAAAGTTTGAGGCCAGCCTTGACAATTTAGTGAGAACCTGTCTCAAATTTTCTTTAAAAAAAGGGCTGGGGGTGTAGCTTAGTGATAAAGACCCTGGGTGGTTTAATATCTATCTTTCTCTCTCTCTCTCTCTCTCTCTCTCTCTCTCTCTCTCGCTCACACACACACACACACACACACACACACACAATCTCACAAATTTTAAATGCTGTCTTGATCCAAGTTCAAGGCATGGGCTAGAGAGCAACCAGTTCCCCTTTCTGAGCATTCTATTAAGTCTACACATAGAACCAACTCTCTTATTGGGCTCTCCTACTCTGGGCCACTATACAACTATCCTAATCACTCCATGGCCAGGTAACAGACTACTGGAGACAGCCCTGCCCCAGGGGCAACTAAAATTATTCAAATTAGACAATCCTAAACTTGTTGCACTGTCTCCCCCATTTCTTTCTCCTGAGAAGGCTCTTGCCCACAGATTCCCCCTCTCCCTGGTCTTGTGATAAATTCTGGTGCTTCCACATACCCCCAACCCCTGGTGACATGGCATGTACTCCCTGTCTTTGGATTTGGGAGTATAATAAACTATCTTTTCAAAGGCAATCATCTACTGTTGATCCTACCATATCAAAATAATAAAATTCATTAAACAATCTCAGATTTCAAGATTTGCATGGAGTGGTCTCATGAAGAGCTGCTAGAGAGTGACGGAAGAGGGGATAGGCACAGGGAGAAGATTAATGCTCATGGAGTTGCAATAGAATCCTCAGCTGATCCTCTAAACAGCTCTGAAACTGGTATGGCCCTTCTGTGTTGCCCCACTTGAAGCTAAGTTCTCTTAGAGAGTCTACTAATAGGATGCAGCCTGTCTTCAAGGAGGGAATGTAATTTTGCTGTGAGGCAGTTTTCTTCCGATAGAGGGCAATTCCTGAAGAAAAATTCAGCTGAGAGTTGTCAGCCACCATTACTCCTAGCACCCAAGGGGATGAGCAGTCTGGGCCCTGTGGGGAGATTTGGACATACTTCACAGAATCACTGCTGGTGATATAGGAAGACATATGCTTCTTAATTAACACTTTAATAAGATCAAATCACTTTAATTTTAAAGTAATGAATGGTATTTTCAGACAGAACAATCACATATGACATAATTTACCTGTGACTTCTATTAAATCCACATATAGCTACCACTACAGGAATTTGTTGCCTATATTTCTGATGGAAGAAAATGCTAAATTTCTGTTGGAGTAAATTTAAAATAGAGTTGTTCAAATCCACATACTCCATTAAGAAGACTTTGGAGGCTGTCGCGAGGGGGCAAAATTGTAACGTATGCAGTCGAGGGGAGAAATAAAGAATGTCCACGCGCTTCTGCCCCTTTCAATGCTTTATTCACTCAAATTACTCAATACAGTTTCACTCTATAGGTTCTTAATCAAGAAAATGACAATCCTAATGCTATGCACTGCAATAGACATAATCAATTCATAGCAAACAATTCTAGATTGATTAATTCACAGCAAACAATTTTAGATTCATTCTAAGCACTGCAAAACACACTTAATCATGACAGGCTAATGACAGACTTTCCCTCTGCATGCTAAGTTCAAAAGTCTTAAGCCTTAGGTTTTATGTCCAGCAGATGCATACTCACTCAGACCGCAGTGACCAGGTCAGGAACCAAAGCAGGCTTTTCCTGGCATGGAGTGGACGACTGTTGAGAAGAGGGTCATAGGGAGAAGTTGCAGCTCTCACCAAGGTCCACATGAGGCAGTAGAGTTTGAGAGCGGTGAGAATCACACAGAGGATCAGGAACTATGACAAGTGATGGGATGTCAGTCCAGATCCTCATCAGGCTCTCCAGCATTCTTGTTTTGGCCGCTGAATCCCTGTTCATTAGCTCTATTATTTATACTAAATTTTGGAGCTTTTGACCCCCCTTTCAATCCTTATCAGCTACCACTGGGTTTCTCAGTGACATCATTTACCCTGGGGTCAGAAACATCTGGTCTGGTGGTCTGCACCTTGATCTTCTTGTCTTTCCCTCTTATCAGGTGAGGACAGCCTGCCAGGGGCTTCACTGTTTATCAGGGTGAGGGGAAGTAACTCTCCATACTAGAGAGCTCTGTGGGTGTGCCTGGTGAGACTGCAGGTTTCAAACTGGAATTTTTAAAATGGAGTTGCTTAGGCTCAGGCCTAAGGCATCCTCACAGAGGCAGAACCCTGTCTTGTTCACTTGTCCTCTCCAGAATTATCCACAGTTCTGGATACCAAATGATGGTATTTTTTTCCCAGTACTGGGGATTGAACCAAGGTGAGCCCTGCCACCGAGCCACACCCCCAGACCTGTTTTGTTTTTTATTTTCAGACAGCATCTGGCCAAATTGCCGAGGCTGGCCTTGAACTTGTGATCCTCATGCCTCAGCTTCTGGACTCACCAGGATTACAGGCATGCGTCCTTGTGACCGGCCCTACTGATGCTCCTTGAAACATTACTATGATTTGATTTGATCACTCTAAATTGTCTAGATGTATAGAACCATAGTACTGTACCCCATAAACGAGTACAAATATATGTCAATTAAGATTTTTAAATTTTAAAACTTGACAGGATTAAAGAAAACGGATAAAATTTAAAACTCCTCCCAAACACTCCCTCAGCCGCTCAAATTACGTGTAGCCGAATTCTCTCTACGGGAACCTCTAGACGATAAAAGCCCCTGCCACCTCTGAAGTTGAAAAAGGCACCCAGCAGCGACGGCCTCGCGATTATAGGTCAAAGCTCCGAGGAGGCGGGACCCTCTCTGTGATTGACAGAAACCCTTTCTTAGCCGGCAGTTTACGCCCGCGCACCCGGAAGTCCCGCCTTCAGAAAAGGAAGGAGCGGCGCAAGAGAGCGCCGGCCGTGACCGCGGCGACAGCGGTGACCCAGTGAGAGGAAGGCGGGGACGGTAGCAGGTCGTGGTCCTCGGGGTTTGGGTTGGAGGTTAGAGGCAGGGCCAGTAGCTGGGGGAGAAATCAGGTCGTGCTGGCCACGGCTGGTGGGGCCTGGGGACCATGCCCTGGAGCAGGTGGGACTGTGGGGATGGTACGGGAAGAGTGGCAGCACCCTGACTCCTCTGTCCCTTTTTCCCTTTCTTCCATCCTTCCTTCCTCGAATTTCCTTATCTGTGCTCTTCGCTAAGGCCTGGGGGACTGGGGATCAATTCTGATTTCAATGTGCCTACCCTCCCTCAGGAAGACCCCCGGGCTGCACACCACCTCTGTGAGGTGGTTTGGCCTGCCCACCACGTCTATGATGTGGTTTCTCAGAGACCACCTCACCTCAATCGCTTAATCCCCACTCGCTTAGAAACGTGCCCCCGGAGGGCAGGTTTCATACTGTTTCCCAAAGGCGGCAATATATTAAAGCCTAGTATGTTCCCATGATGGGACAAAAAGGATTGACTAGATTAAGAGGAACAAGGGAATAGCTGCATTCTGGGCATCAGCATTGATATGTCTCTTTGCTTTGACAGCTGGAAATTTAAAATTGTTTGGAGTCAACACTGATTCCAACCATGGGTTTGTCCGCCTCTACCCCTGCTGTTCCAGTTCAGACCTCAAATGCTTCAGATCATCAGACAGCATCACCGCCTTCAGGATGCCCAATGCATGAAGGGAAAATGAAAGGTAATTGACCCTTTGTGTAGAAAAGTAAAACAAGATATTTCTGAAAAGGTTCTAAAGGAAGAGGTGGTGTAGTTTGCTAGGGAGGCTTGTAGGCCTGGGAGTGAGGCACCCTAGAGCTGCTTACAAATTTTGTGATTATAGATAGGTTACTTCTCTAAGTCTATTATCTGTAACATGAGACTATAATGTTATCTCCGAGGGTTATCATGATGATTAATTAATAGGAGAGCATAGTGATTGCACCATGAATCATTCCCTGACTCCCCAAAGTTTTCCTGTGCTTCCATCAGTGCTTCTCAGGAGACATTTGCCCATGCTGGGAGACATTTTTATCACAACTGAGAGTACAGAGTACTCCTGGCATTGAGTGGGTGGAGATCAGGAACACTGTTAAACATCCTGTAATGCACAGGATGCCCCCCACAACAAACAATCATCCAGCCCAGATATCAAGAATACAAAGGTTGCATGGAAAACCTTGGTCCACATCTATCTGTCTTTTTTTTGTTGTTGTTGTTGTTTAAGTTGTTGATAAACCTTTATTTTATTTATTTATTCATATGTGGTGCTGAGCATCCAACCCAGTGCCTTACACATGCCAGGCAAATGTGCTACCGCTGAGCCCCAGCCCCAGCCCATCTCTGTCTTAATAAATAAACTTTACTCCCATATATGCTACAATATCCTATAAAATAAGCCATCTCCAAATGGACTTGTGGTCTATTCTTTCAGGCAAAGCTGAAAATAAAAAGATTTCTTTGACTTTTAGACAGTGTATGTTGGCTTTTAATTTTTCATATTAAAGTTTGGTTTTAATCAGTAAGTCATGATGAGAGAGGCAATGTGGCATGTTTACTGAATGCTAATTCTTGCAGAGGTAGTCATTTATTTTCTGGGTGAGCCAGCCCACTTTTACAGGTCACTGCCAATTCTGTGCCAAGCACTTTTTGTTATTTCTTCCTGCACTGAGAGTAGTAGTGAATAAGAGGTGAAGATCCTTTGTCTGATGAAAATCCTGTATCTCATATTCATAATCCTGTGTGGTGGGTTTTCTGTTTTATAGCCAAGGAGACTAAGGCTCAGAATAAATAACCAATGCACTCCAAGTCACACAGGGTATAAGTGGCAAAGCTGTTGAAAACTCTGTGACCTTGGACAAGGACAGATCCAGTGCTCTTGTAGTATTGCTTCTTCCATGAATTGAGACAGATCAGATGAAGCAGCTGTGCTTCTGCTCTGAGTGTCCATCCTCAGGGAGATCAGAGTCTTCTTTCTGGTTTCATTTCATTTGTTATTTATCCTAGAGCCAGTCTGATTTATAGTAAAGAATGTATTTGTAGATCAAAAGGGCTTCTAATTATATAATGTAAATTAACATGAGTGGGAATCAGTGCCCTTGAAAGGATTGATGCTTTGAATGGTAGAGAGGGAAGATATAGCAAGTTTGCTTTCATCTCTAAATTAGGCAACTGATGGGTATTAGGAAATGAGGGCCTGGGAGGAGAGGCCCAAGGAAGGAAGTGAAAGGAAACTCATCTTTTCTCTGTGTGTCACCAGCATTTGGTGTATTCCATTCTTCCTGCTGCTGCCTGAGTCAAGGATTCTATTACATAACAGCTGTTGTCCCAGGCTGCAGTTCTCCAGGAGCCTGCCTGCTGTGAACTCTTAGACCAACTTCTCAGTCCCCACACCTGACTGAATCAGGATCCAGATACATTGTCTGCCCTTCCTAGTGCTTAGTCATTAGGCTCATACCTTCCCCTTAAGAAGCACCTGGGTCCTAGATGGGTTGTGGGTTGTTTTCTTTAATGTCTCCCTTTTCTTGCTGTCTGCTGACAAGGAACAGCACCTTGGCTACCTAGTAGTTATCTGTGCCTTGTTTTAGTCTTGAAATAAAATACAATCAGAGTGGCATGGAGATTTTTCTTCAGCAGCCTTTATGAAATCTCTGCTCATTTTCTTCTGCTCCAGTACTTGCGAGAGTACATCAATAACAGATGATTGGACTGCAGTGGCATCCTGGCTGGGGCTGGGCTTGTCTGGAACTAATGGCTGGAAGTTAAGGAGACTCGGTGAAATGTGGCCCAGCCCCTACTTAGGTTCCTTTTGCAGCTCCCAGGTGCTATTCCAAGCAGGAACTTTCTAACCTATTGCAAACACTATGGCATAAGCAATACATACTATTACATCTGCTGAGATATTTTCATTTATTTTTTCTGGGAGCATAATTTAATCATAGAATGGGGATTTTTTTTTTCAGAAGTACAGTAAATTTATTGAACCTTTTCCTCATCTACAAATTTTAGAACATTAGATAACTTAGTTCGTGGCAGCTTTAAACAAAAGAAACACTTTTTCCTATGGTTGTCAGAACTTCAACTTCTTAAGGCCCCATTTGAGAGACCCAGATGTTATGCTTTTCTTCTGCTATGTTGACAGTTTTTATACTTGATTATTTCAGGCTGTCCAATGAATGCAGAACCCTCTGGTCCAACCTGTGAGAGCAAAACATACTCTGTGCCTGCCCACCAAGATCGTGCATATGAGTATGTGGAGTGTCCTGTTACAGGCGCTGCTGCTAAGAATAAGGAGAACCTGGATCCTTCAAATCTGGTAATATATACTGTTTCCTTCTTCCTGGAATATTTTATGCATAAATGCTTTTACAGACTCCTAAGACAATATGTAGACTGCTAGGATAGATTCTTCTGACATTTGAAAACTAAAGTTTGGTTTGCATATACAGTGAAAAGTCTAGAATGGGATACTAAATATAGTTTCAGAGAGCACCTGGGAAAGAAAACAGTGATTACAAAGACCCAGGGTAGCTTTACTAGGAATAAGCCACACCAAATGAGTATTTTCTCACGTGAAAGAGTTATTAGATGGTAGCAAGATCTTCCTTAAAGAACATATCTGGAGGTAGTAAGGTGTTTAGGTTGACCAGAACCTTGTAGGCATCTTACAAGATTGGGGTGCTTCTTCAGGCACTATTAGGAGCCAGCCACATGTTAATTGCTAGGATAGTACAGTGTCATCTGACTGCCAGCAAATTTAATGTCATCAAGAAATGAGGATGAGGATATTCATAATTTCTATAAAGCTCTATTATCTGTTTTGTTCTAAGCCCTGGGAGTGAGCAGTGTGCACAAGATAGGCTATGTTGTTGCCCTCGTGGACTTTTATTTTCTGTTATTATATTATTATGTAACCTACATTATTATTATAGTCTGCTACTATATAATTGTAACAGGGGTTCACTTGATGCTTTGACTATTTCCCTTGTGACTCTGAAACTTACATGTTTTCTTTCTTTTACCAACCTTCTTCTCCCTGATCTTCTTTTCCCTAACTTTCTCCTTCTTGATTTTCTCCTCCCTGATCTTCTTTTCCCTAATCTTCTCCTCCCTGATCTTCTCCTTATACATGTCTCCTCCCTAATCTCATTTTCTCTAAATTACCTTTTAAAAAACCCCCTGTTACCCATGATGGGCAGAATGACAGCCTTTGGAACAGGAGTTCCCTGTGTTTCTCCTTTGCTAGAAAAGCAATAAACCTTCTTTTTCCTTTTTCTCAAAAAGGGATGAGGTACCTGTGGCTTCTTTATGTTTTATGATAGCCATACAACATAAGGAATTGTAGTCTCATTTGGAATCACATTTTAGTGGAGAGACAGACAGACTTGGGCTTATACTTTAGAGAGCCACAGGATGGCTGTCTAAATTAAAAATGTTTAGAAATTTTAGTGAACCAGGAACATTTAAAGGAACTAGAAATAGTCCTCGAAAAGAGAGATACAATAGCAGTGTCCACATCAGGAACTGAGAAACTGTGGTCCATGAGCTGTATCTGGCCCTCCACCTGCTTTTGAAAATAAAGGTTTGTTGGCATACAGCCATACTCATTCATTTATGTATTGTCCGTCACTGCTTTTACACAGTAGAGAAAGGAGCAGCAGAGTTGAGTAGTGTGACGTGGCACACAAAACCAAAAATATTGGCTATCTGGCTCTTGACAGAAATAGTTTATTTGAAGGCCTATGTGGAAGACAATCTTAGTGGCGTGCCTAAGGATCAATGGGTTGTGTCAACTATAACATCTACTATAAGAGGCCATGTAGAAAGCAACTTGGTAGCAATGGAACCAACCTACACACAGAGTGGACTCGTAGATGAAGCAGTAAGTGGCCTGTCTGCTGGAAACATTTATTTAATAGATATTTAGAGTTCCTCCAGCGTACTGAGGACTCTCCTAGGTTAGTTACAAAGATGCATAGGACACAGCTTGTGCTCTCAACTTATTCACATTATAGTAAATTCCAGATGAGAAAAAGAGGCAATTACAGCTCAGTATACTCATTTATAGAGAAAAGCCCAGGATTACTTGGGAGGGATTAGTATCCTAGACTTCAGGTTCAAGAACAGGGAAGGGGTTGTGGTCAAACCTCAGTAAGGACCCTGCCAAACTATAAGGAAATGGCTGTGTTGAAGAAGTTGGATGAGATAAGGGTTTCTTACCCTTGGTACTGTTGACACTTGGGGCTTAGTAATTCCTTCCTGTGGGAGTTACCCTGTGCACTGTAGGATGTGTAGCATTATTCCTGGCTTCTACCCACTAGATGCCAGGAGAACTCTCTCCACTTAGTTGTGACTATCAAAAATATCTCTAGACATTGCAAAGAGTACCCCAGTAGACCACTGGTCCAGATCATATCTAATAGCCTAGTGGTTCAGAACATGAGCCTTTTAGAATCTTAGATATCTATACTCTTGTCCCAAGGGATCATTATATGTAGCGAGAATACTAATAACAGCTAGATTTTCTTGTGGTCATTTTTGAGGCATTCAAGCAAAGTACCATGCACTTTTTCTTTTATCCTCATAATAGCCTCATGTGGTCAGTGTTTCTTGTCCTTGTTTTAGAACTGAAGATACTGGGAGTGAGAGTGAGCAGCTTGCCCCATGCCATTCAGCTAAGAAGTGGCAAAGCCAAACTGAAGCCCATCTGCCTCAGACTTATGTCCTTAAAAATGCTAGTGGTGACAGTACAGGCAATCATTGCAGATCTTACCATACAAAGCTCTCCTTCTATTGTAATTCAAAGTAGGGGCCATGTTATGGCTGAGAGTTTTATTTTTTTCCATATTTTTTTTTTTACTGGTGCACTACTAATTACACATAATGGCAGGATTCATTGTTACATATTTATAGATGCACATGATATAATCATATACTTTGGCCAATATCATTCAATTATTCATGTGTATCTGTTAGAGAAAGTCTTTCACACTTCTAATACAAAAAGAAGTTCTAACCAGTTTTCAACTTGGGGTGCTTGCCAGGGGACAGTTGACTTATTTATGTCTGGAGACAGTTTTCATCATCACAACTGGGCAGGAGTGTCACAACTGGGCAGAAGCTGAGGATAATGCTAAATAACCTACAGTACTCAGTGTAACAGAACCCCTTAACCAAAAATCAGCCCCTGAAGTCAACAGTGCTGAAGGTGCAAGACCCTGACCTAAGTTGGCTGTTAATTAACATAACAGTACTGACTGCTGACCCCTGAATGGGAGAAAGGATTGTGCCACACCTTTGGTCTGGCATTATTGCAGTGCAAATATTCATTTATATTGTGTTCAGCCCAAAGTCTGAAAGCATAAGCAGAATTGTACATGTATGAATGTTTAAAAAGAAAGTTGCATTATATATATAGTCTGTGAGATTTTCTTCAAAAGTTCAAAAGAGATAAAGAGTTAATAGTCAGTTTTGAATAACCTGTCAAAAAAGTTTTTTTTTTTTTTTTTTAAAACCAGGGGCTGAACCTATGGGCACTTAAACACTGAGCCACATTCCTAGCCCCTTTCTTTTTTTAATTTTTGAGACAAGGCTTCTCTAAGTTGCTGACGCTGACTTTGAACTTGTGTTCCTCCTGGCTCAGCCTCTTGAGCTGCTGAGATTATAAAAAGAATTTTAGAAATGCTTGTAGTTTATATTAGTTTTTACTTCTGTGTCCTTGGTGACATCACTTCTAAATTTGTTCAAAAGAGAGAGAGCAAAATTTAACCACAGTATCTATTTACCATTTATGAGAATTTAATCATGGAGGAAATAAGCTTCAGTATTCTGAAGTTTCAGAACAATCCAAATATCTAAGAGGCTTGAAGTTTTGATGTCAGTGGGTTAGTGGGGAATCTGTGCTTTGTGTGTGATCCATTGCTTTCCAGTAGATACTTAATTATATTCATATATCCTACTTTATGTCATGTTTCTAGCATTTATTAAACAAATCTACTTACTTTATTTAGATGCCACCACCTAATCAAACACCAGCTCCAGATCAGCCCTTTGCATTGTCTACCGTCAGAGAGGAGTCATCCATTCCACGAGCAGATTCAGAGAAAAAGTGGGTTTATCCTTCCGAACAGATGTTCTGGAATGCAATGTTAAGGAAAGGGTAAGTGAATGAGCATATTGTTTAAAATATAAATTTGCTTGTTAAATTCATCTAAGAATTGAATGTTAGTTTTTTTACCTCAAAAAAATACAGCAAGTTTTTAATGAGTTAATTAGCTTATAATCAACAGAATTTTTAGACTTGTCAGAATATAAGTTCAAGGCCAATTTTGAGGTCAGGTTCTCCAGAGAAACAGAATCAACAGGACTGGGAGAGCAGGGCAAGATTTATTTTCAGGAATTGACTAACATGATCATGGAAGCTGACAAATCCCAAGATCTACAGCTGACAAACTAGCTACCCAATAGAGCCAATGGTATAGTGCTAGTCCGAGTCTGAAGGCTTGAAACCCAGGAAGAGCTGACATTTTAGTGTGAGTCTGAAAAACAGGAGAAGACTATAATGTTTCAGTTCAAGCTTCTGCTTATGAGAAGATCAGCCCTTTTCTTACATTTAGGCCTGAAACTGATTGGATATAGCCCACCCTTGTGGAGCACGACAGTCTCCTTTACTCATTCTGCTGATTGAAATGTTGATCTCATTCAGATCCCCCGCACTGACATGCTCAGTGTTTGGCCACATGGCTCCATGACCCCATCAAATCGCACATAAAATTGACCATCATAGCCAGTAATAGCTTTTTTCTTTTAAAGGAAAGAAATGCTAATGTAGAGAATACTTTTTAAAAGTTGGAGCTTCATTAATCAATGTTACTAACTGAAGAAACCATCTTTAAAAGAACCATCTTTAAAAATAGATGTTTCCATAAGTCTGGCTTTTGGAAATTCAGTGAAATGAGAGTAACTTCATTATTAATCTTCAATTTTAATGTTTGTGTGGTAGCTTTTGATTTATGGCACTATTCCATGATCATAAGTAAATCTTTAAAATGAGTCTTAGATTCATTGAATTCATAGAAAATGAGCATTCTTAGTTTTTTTTGTAATTTTGTAAATCACTTTATGAATATTTGGATTAACTTTTTGGCATTATCAGTAATGTTTGTCACATTTTACCAAATGTGCTTTCATAGGTGGAAGTGGAAGGATGAGGATATTAGTCAGAAAGATATGTATAATATCATTAAAATTCACAATCAGAACAATGAACAGGCCTGGAAGGAGATTTTGAAGTGGGAAGCTCTTCATGCTGCGTAAGTATGATTGAGATCTTAAAAAGTACTTCCAGTGTCGTTTATATTTTGTATCAACTTCTACAGTTTTAGCATTAAAATAATTTGATACTTAAATAAAATACTTATAAAACTGTCCTGTGACATTTTGTGGGACAGATTATCCCTCCATATTCATGTGAAAAACAGCAACCATTTTATTAGGCTTGTGGACTTGGTGGGTCCAGAATGCAGAAAAGACAAAGATAGCTCCTCTCTACTCCCTGATGTCTGGGGCCTCAACTCCCAAGTCAGGGATGGTTGCGTATCCATGGACTGGAGACCTCTGAAGGTGTCACCATTTACTTGTCCAGCAGGTGGTGCTGGCCATCTTTCAGACCAGCCTGCTTATGGCTTCTAAATGTGACTGTTTTGGCTTCCTCGCATCATGGTACCAGGAGCTAGGGTTCCAAAAAGCACCAAGCAAAGCTGTGTCTTCTTTTCTGACTTAGCCTTAGAAGTCCCATATTGATACAAGCCTGCCCAAGTTCAAGGGGAGGGAACAGAGACCCCCACCTCTCAGTGAGAGGAGTTCCACAGTCCATTGAAAGCAGAATACATAGGAAGAGAGGTACTAAAATGCTCTGTGTCCTAAGCCAGATGGGAAGATGCTTTTGTTCCCTCAGCACCATCTATTGAATCCCCATTAGGAATAACCCTAAGAGATGTCTCATTATGGGGCCCCTTTTCTCAGGGAGATTTGGTAAATGTATATGCTATGGTGATAGGATCTGTGTCCTTAGAGACCAGTGGTTCTCAACACCTTCTGGAAAGTTTGTTACAATGCTGCATGCTGGGCTTCACCTCAGCCCAAGAACCAGATCATTTCATAATCTGTGGTTTGCATTTCACATTCCTCACAAAATGTGATTAATTTGTTTCTTAGCTAAAATTTACTTATTGATTTATTTTATGGGTTTTTTATTCAGTTTGTTTTTTTATCCAGAGAAAATATATTTTTTAATTTATTTATTTGTTCCAATTTGTTATACATGACAGAAGAATGCATTTCAGTTAATAGTACACAAATGGAACAGAATTTTTCATTTCTCTGGTTGTATACAAAGTAGTCACACCATTCATATCTTCTTACATGTACCTAGGGTAATGATGTCCATCTCATTCCACTGTCTTTCCTATCCCCATTCCCCCTCAGTACAAACAAATGCCCCAGTCTGGAGGGAGGAGGGGAAAGTAAAAGGCACCCAATCCAGAAGGAAAGAGGAATATTTTCAATAAATAGGGACATTTTATTTGAATTGCTTTAGATGCTGCTATATCAATGCAGTATTATGTGAAATGCATACAGGAATATGTGTATTATTGAAAAACTGGAACATATCCTTGTCAAAGGAAAGAAAGTATTTTAATAGGTTTTTCTCCTTTGGCATTTTCCAGGGAGTGCCCTTGTGGTCCATCCTTGATCCGATTTGGAGGGAAAGCAAAACACTATTCACCAAGAGCAAGAATTCGTTCCTGGATGGGGTGAGTGTCAGTGCCAAAATGTTATTTTGCATACCTCAGATCAGGGTCAACTTTTTCTTGGCACCAGAGTCTAAGAACTGTAGTGCCATCTTCTAAAACTCATTCAGTATTCAGCTATAGATTTCCTTCTCTCCTTGAGGTTTGCTCCTTGATGGGCAGATGTGTTAAGATGTAGTGGCTAGCTTACTATTTAATTATCTGAGGATCCAATTGAGTTCTCTTCTGTATTCTTGGATCCATCTTTTGCTCCTCCTATAATCTTTGGGTAACATCTGCTTAGTGTTCCTAACTTTTCTCCTAGTAAATAGTTAAATGGCCCAGGTTTCTTTCCTGTGGATCTTTTTCCTTTGTAAGGGAATAAGCAGTCATGTGACCTGGACTTATCAGTCATTCAGTGCCATGTTCCCTTAGTCTCTGAGCCTCACCTTCCCAGTCAGGTGTTTGCGTTGAGAGCAGGCAAGTGCTGCTTCTCAGCCACTCTCACCGCCAAACCAGCACCAAATGCCCAGCCAGTGATTTATACCCACTAGCATGCTTTCATTCCAGGTATGAGCTGCCTTTTGACAGGCACGATTGGATCATCAACCGCTGTGGCACAGAAGTTAGATATGTTATAGATTATTATGATGGTGGTGAAGTCAACAAGGACTACCAGTTCACCATCTTGGACGTCCGCCCTGCCTTGGATTCGCTTTCAGCAGTATGGGACAGAATGAAAGTTGCTTGGTGGCGCTGGACATCATAACCACTGTTTTGTTTGTGATGCAAAGTATAAACTATTTTTTTTCTGAGAGATACATTAAACTATTTTCCCCAAACTGAACTGCACTCATGATGTAACGGGAACTTCAAGTGGGTCATACACTTCATCCTCCACTTAGCAAAGGGCCCCTGCTCCATTCAGTTTTGAGCTGCATTTTGCCTTGCAGTTTATAGCAAATAGTTCTAAGTTTTCTTCCCGTTTGGTTTAAGTGGGAAGCAGTCCCTCAGTTTGTCCGTTATCTGCAATATTGCCTATGTATTTCATCTAGAAAAGTCTGAAAAAGTTTTTTTAGAAAGTGAGGAAAGCTGCTTTTTTCTTACCATTTTCTCAGGAATATTTGAGAGGTAAAACCTGAAAGCCAGTGTACTGCTAATGAGCTTTTACCTGGTCAAATCTTTTAACTAAAATCATTTATTATAAATAAGCAATATCTTTTTAAAAAGAGACTATTATTTCTGAAGTCCCTACAATTTAGTAGAGACCCTGAACAAAATGCAAAGCCATACCCTAGCACTCCAACAAGACTAAGGTGTGTCTTGGCTCTCAATTCTTATTTATATGCATTTTTCAGACTGGGCCTTGTTAAAGAAGTTTCAACTCACCATGAGGTGCTGATGCATATGCTTTGAAACATATATTTTAATTTTTAAAATATTTTCCTGTTGTTCTGATATGTAACTCTGCTTCCCCAAACAGGTCTCTTCATTGTCCCTGGAATTTAAAGTTATCCCAACTTTGAGTCCCATTCCTTCCTCCATTGGAAGCCTTCCTTCTGGTTGGCTTAATCCGGATTTAAAAGTCTGGCTCAAGTCACAGTGCCAGTGATTATATTTAGCTGAGTATTAACATTCACAAGAAGAGTATTTTTCTCAGATGTAGTTATGTTTGCATTAATTCACTGTCTCAATTTTTATGTTTTAAAGAAGCTTTAAGCTTGGTGTTGAAATTCCTTGTATCAGTAACCCCAAAACTGATTGTTCTAATTATAACAGCATGTTACAAATGACTGTTTTTTAAAGTGTTGATAATATTAAATCCTTTAATTTATCCTGAATACTGTAGTGTTAAATTAGTGGATGAAATTGGCAGTCTCTGAGTTATTAATTTGGTATGGATTTCTTGGGTGTGTCAGTTTTGTGTGGAGTTTCAAAAATCCAAAAAGCTTAAGTTCTACATGTCAAGAGTATTTTGTACATTTTTAAATAAAGCTGATAATTAACAGGTTTTGAAAATCTTTCAGAGTAACCTTATAGTTAATTTTTCTTCAGACATGCAGTCTCTACAAAAGTAATGCCATAGTCTCCCTACTTGGGTCAGATATTTTCTCATCTGTTAATCACATATTTTTTAAACTGTAGAGGGAAATACTTATTGTTGGCTTTTTTCCTGGTCCTGAGTGCTCTTGATTGAGTATAGGATTAGGCATTATGTGAAACAAAGCATTGTAACTAGAAACTGAAAATTAAGCCATATGCAAAAGGTTTCAGCCCTGTTACTGGGCTGTAGTCTTTTTTGAAACAGACAATCTTGAAAGTAAACTGTCAAGCAAATTTGATGACAATGTCAACAGTTTTTTTTTTTAATATTTATTTTTTAGTTGTAGTTGGACACAATACCTTTATTTTAATGTGGTGCTGAGGATCAAACCCAGGGTCTCGCATGTGCTAGGCGAGTGCTCTACTGCTGAGCCACAACTCCGACCCAAGATCAACAGTTTAATATACCCTTTTACTACTTCAAGAAAAGACTGTATAGCCTACTGGGTACTCAGAGCTGCTGTGTGTCTAGATTATACTTGATTGTGTCTGGAAACAGGACTTATCTGCTCTGAAAGGAGTTTTCACATATAACTTGAAATTCATTTTGGATCATCTCTGGGGTTTTAAACTAAGTCTCATGAAAAAATACTATTTAGAATTAGAATACATTACTATACATCAGGGAAAGTATTAGTAGATGGGAGTTCAAACCGGGATTGCATTTTAACATCCAATCCTATGAATTCAGTCGTTAACATTCATGAATGTGTATGTCCACACTTTGCATCTTATTGAGAATACAATATTACAGAAGGTACATCCCCTACCTTCAGGAAATCAGTCTTTTGGAGGGCAGTCTGTAAATGAAATGATGGAATTAGTAGAATTCCAGTTGAAAGAACACATTGTAATAATGAGAGGGGGGCAAATTCACATAAGAATTTTTGAGTATATAGCTATTAATTCCTTACTGAGTCATCAATATGGTTATTGCTCCCTAGTGAAAGCAACACAATCTATTTCCTGTATCACCTTTGCAATGACTATGGGAATTGTTCATAGGTTTGAGGCTGCTTGTGTGGTGATTAAGAATGTGTGTCTTGGCTGGGCACGGTGGCACACACCTCCCAGCAGCTTGGGAGGCTGAGGCAGGAGGATGGAGAGTTCAAAGCCAGCCTCAGCAATGGTGAGGTGCTAAGCAACTCAGTAAAACCATGTCTCTACATAAAATACAAAATAGGGCTGGGGATGTGGCTTGGTGGTTGAGTGCCTGAGTTCAATCCCCAGTCCCCCCCACCCTCAGTGTGGATGTGGAAAACAGTTTGGAGGGGGCTGGGGATGTGTCTCAAGTGGTAGCACGCTCGCCTGGCATGCGTGCGGCAAACACACATACAAACAAAGATGTTGTGTCTGCTGATAACTGAAAAATAAATATTAAAAAATTCTCTCTCTCTCTCTCTCTTTAAAAAAAAAGAGTTTGGAGTCTTTGCTCTGCCCTTTATTTGCTGTATGATCTTAATGTCTCTGGGCCTCAGCTTTTGCTGCTGTCAAGTGAGAATAATCAAACAGCTCTACTAGAGTTGTCTTGCATGTTCTGTGAGATGAGGCCATCACCATGTGACCAACAAGAAGTAAAGTGAGATTGTGCATCAGGGATAGAAAACAGTGCTGACACATACTCCACAGTCTAGCATCCTCTATTCCTCTGAGAAGATTCTATTTAGGAGGCTAAAAACAGGCTCTATTCCTAATTTTTGTCAGTTTTAAGTATTAGCAGGTATATGAATGCCTGCTGTAAGCAAGCTCATGTTATTTAAAACCACCAAAAGGGATCTTTAAAAATAAATAAGACAGTGACATTTGGTTTACTTACTATGACAGTTCCACTTGACAAAAATAAAGAGTATATTTAAGCTCTTGTGTTTCCTTATCTAAAATGTAGCACTGTGAATGTAGAAACCAAGTCTATAAATAGTAAGGGAATGGTTAGAAAGTGTTTAAAGGAGAATTACTAAAAATATTGCCATGAAGCTGGAAAGGGCTGGGAAAATACTGTACGAATCCAGAATAATTCTCTTCTGTCCTTTGCAGTGGTTTCTTAAATTTCCTTTAAGAAAATGGAACTGGAATTATAGATAATGCATGATAGATAAGATTCATGTAGGAATAAAGTGGCACTACTGACCCACAGCACCCCAAAAGTAAATGGCTCAGTGTTGAAAGATTAGTGAATAATGTGCTGTGTTTATGTGCTTTCACCTAAAATCTAATGTATAGTCATTTTGATTCAGCTGGATTTTTTAAAAATACAGTTTGACATTGTTCAGACAAAGATTGCATTAGAGCATTATTTGGGATCTTGCTGTCTCTCTCCCTTTTCTGGTTTCCCCAGCAAGCTGCTTCTCAAACTTCTATGTAGATCAGAATGCCCTGGAAGGCTTATTAAAACACAGATGGCTAGGCCCCAGCCCAGCGTTCCTGATCCAATAGGCCCAGGGTGGCAGGAAATTTGCCTTCCTAATGAGCTCCCTGGAGATGCTGCTGCTACTGGTCCAGGGACCACAATTTGAACCTCTCCTTCCTCTGCTGAGTCCTTTCAGCTTTTACTCCACCCCCACCATCTTTCCAGTTACCACATATTCACATTGCCTTGGGTCAAAGTTCCAAGCAGGAGATGTGAATGCAAATATTCAATAGAAATACCATTTTTCTAATTTTGCTTATTCCCCATTTCTTCCCTAGAGTCTCCCTTCTCCCCTCAGTTCTGAAGGCTGCATACATTTTACTATGTTTTGTTTTAATAACTTTTCTTTGGAAAATTTATTGTCTCCCATGACTCTTGTAGGTGATAACAGTGGGGCAGAATGACAAAGGGGTGACGATGATGGCTCCCCCAGAGTGGCTCATAGGAAACCCTATTGTACTATGTGCTGCTTCTATGTGAATTGTGGTCTTGAGAGAAAAAAAAACTTTGTTGGTGGCTGCTCCCTGATCAGCCCAGGTGTTCTGGGTTGTTCTGGAGACTTGACCTTTGCTCACCATATTAGTTTGCCAGGGCAGCTGTAGCCAAGTGCTACAGATGTAGCTTAAGCAACAGAAATTTTTCTCTCACAGTTCTAGAGGCCAAAAGTACAAGATCAAGGTGTTATCAGGGCTGTGATTCCTTTGAAGTCTCTTGGGGAGGATCTGTTCCAAGTCTGTGTCCCAGTTTCTAATAAGTTCTTTGGCTCTTGGCAACATAATACCAGTATTCATATGGTATTCACCTGTGAGCATGTCTGTCTCTGGTACCCCAATTTTCCCTTTTATTAGGACACCAGTTATGTTAGATTAGGGTCCCCCTTCAATGCCCTCACCTTAACCCCTATTTCCAAATAAGGTCACATTCACAGGTATTGGGGGTTAGAACTTCAACAGTTTTTTAGTCAGAGAGTGTTGAGGGGGGGAAATGAACACAATTTATACTCACATTAGCAGAATGGCTTTGAAAAAATTCATCCAGGTCCAGCTCATCCTCTGGCGTCTGAGCCCCATCACTGCTGAATTGGTCATCTCCTTTGAGTAGATGAAGGAACAGTTTTGCCCCCACCCCTAGAGGACATTTGTTTCACTCATTAACCCAAAATTGATCCCGAGTGAGGGCTTGCAGCCTGATGCACATAGAGGCCAACAACTGTTGTACCAGATATTTGCAAAAAGAAAAGTTTTTGTTGAAGACCAACTGACAAGGAGGCCAGAGGCACCTTCAAATCTGTCTCCTTGATCAGTTCTTAGCAAGGGAATGAAAGCACTCTGTAAAAG